CAAATTTTAGCAACCAATAGCTATGAAATGTTGAAAACAAAATACTGTCAAAGTATGAGATGACAGCTTGTCATTTAAACATCACCAGCTTATTGAATATTAAGAAATTACATATAATTCAATTAAAATTTAAAGAAATGTTGGATTTTTGAATAAAATTCATGTTTTAATTACTATTGTTGATTTTTTATTCATGTTTATATTATTTTGTTCAATAGATATGCGCTACTGGGTGTTTTTTCCTATAAACCTCTTGCAGATAGCGATTAAGCACCTACTTGATGACAGGGCCTCTACCAGAAGATGTTGCTCGTTTCCAAACAGTCATTCATTCACTTGCCGTCCATCAGAACCATTATGGCACCTTAGATTGATATTCCCACAAAACCATTCAGGTTTTTTGATATCCATGCATCCATAAAGTTGAACATTTTTCGTTGTTCAGGAACTGAACAAACATCCACACTATATTCACAGCGATTAAGAAATTCCCAAATATATGCCTTAATGCTACCAGCAACCTAAAACCTGAAAAAAAAACTACAAGTTTGCCATATTTTTATTTTTCACGAGTACGCATTCTAGGTTATACTTTATATTAGACATTATTTGAATACAGCTGATTATTGCATTTCAAGGAGTGACACATGTGTGGGATCTGTCAACTCTTGGTACCAGTCACAAAGCATATACTCTGAAGGTTTAATTCCATGCTATTCAATGAGAACACGGTGACTTGCGAGGTTGTCAGCGGCCATTTTGTGAGGGTGCGACAGGGTTGCCAGAGTGTGCTTTGATATCCCGTTTTACCCTCCTGGTCCCAGTGGAGTAAGTTTCGCCAACTGTTGAAATATACTCTACTATGCTTTATAAGACTATTCGTGACATTTTTCCTAAAATCAATGCACAACACTTAAAAAATGCAATGAAAATTTAAAATTATTTCCGCCGCAAATAGCTCCGTCGGTACCATGGGTTATACATCCTGACAGTAGGGATGTTCGATACGATTCTATATTTAGAAGTATCAATACATTCACGAGTATCGTCATCCTTCGATCCGGACTGTGTCAGAAAGAGTAACTGCCATTTGGCTGCGACATTACCCTGCCAAATCAGACATATCCTTCATCATTTTCAATGAAATTGTACAAAATCTTCAAATTTGTGAAGTTAGCGGGTTTCACTTCATACGTTGTTACCAGACATGCCCGAATCATCAGTTGCTGCCGTGATATTCAACCCACTGCATCCCCACGGCTAGGCGACCTGTATGTTAAATTTGTATTGAAAGGGCAGCGGGTTAAGGTATAAATCATATGTCACAGTGTTTGTACACTGATTGCAACGGTTAGATGATACCAAAAATATTTTCATAAATAGAAGATCTTCCCATTCCGCATCGAACAATCTACCAAAGATGCTTATAATCATGATACCTAGTAAATTTTCACGAAAAAAATTCAAAACTAGCAGATGTAAAAGATTCATTTCGCAACCTCCACCACGGGACGTGATTGTTGTTAGACTTGGCAACCCTGCGAGTGACAGATAGATATCCCCGCCAGTCAAAAAGACAAACATTACTAGTTTTTATGATTTTTGGACTTAAAAGACATTGGGTGATATGCATAAAGGCGAGTGGCTACTTTTGACCTCGCATTTTTAAAGTAGCCACTCCATTTGATATGCATAAAAATGTGAATATAAGCTCACACTCATAAGTTTCTACTCTTTCCGTGAAGCTGTACTCGCTCCTTGAGTGCCGACTTCAATTTTTATATGCATAAAAGTGAGCGTCCACTCTGACGGCTGAGTGCATACTTAAAGAAATGCGAGATACCTTAGTAGTAGACTCAGCTTTATAAGAAGTGAACGAAATGGCCGAATTTATGCCTACTTATCAGCCTACCAAGGTGTTTAAAGATCGTAGGGAATTAAAGGAAGTAGACTATCGGGCCTTATATCGGTTTAGTAAAGTTAATGTTGAGTGGATAAGTAACCATTTTCTTGGAGAGACAGAAGAATATAGGGGCGGTGCTTTGAGCAATATAGAAAGAATGAGGGTTTTTTTACGATATGTGGGTGATCCAGGATTTCAAATTGGCATAGGAGAAGCTATTGGTGTCCATCAATCTACGGCATCCTGTACCGTTTCCAACGTTATAACACGCATTGTGCGGAAGTCGAGCATTTGGATTAGATTCCCAACCACATGTGAAGATCTACACAATGCTAAAAATGAGTGGCAAGAAAAGTTCAATTTTCCTTCAGCTATTGGTGCTATAGACTGCACCCATATACCTATTCTGAACCCGTTTATTCATGCAAACGAATATGTGAACAGAAAGAACTTTGCTAGTATAAATGTACAAGCAACGTGCAATTCAAACGAAGAGTTCACAAGTGTGGATGTTTCTTGGCCAGGATCTGTACACGACTCTCGGATATGGAAGAATTCTGATATATGAAATGGAATAGGGCTAGTGCTGTTTTGTTGGGAGACTCTGGATATGTTATAGCTCTTTGGCTCATGACTCCTTTTAGGATTGCAGAAACAGCAGAACAAAGATCATACAATCGGTTGTTTACGAGAGAGCGAGTTATAATAGAGATATGTTTCGGGCATTTAAAAGAGCGATTTCCCATTCACATAACAAAATACGCGTCGATACAGAAAAAGTGCCCTCCCTTGTCATGAGTTGTTTTATCTTGCATAATGTGGCTAAGCACCTTAATGATGAAGATTTTGCTGTTGATATACCGGGAGATGGCGAACAAGAAGAAATCCATAATCAACATGGTGCTGACTATGCAGATGGAGTGATACGTCAGAGAGGTCAATTTAGAAGAGATGCAATATCAAGAATTATTCATGGCTATCGGGTCTAAGTAAGTATCTAGCATGATCCAAATTTACAATTATGTAGATATACGTTGAAGAACGATGTTTAATTACTCATAACAAAATTAATAACACTTTCAAAATGGCAACTTAAGAGAAAGTTCTTAAAATTAATAAAAAATAACATTTATGAAACATGAAGTACTTTTGTCAGTTCTGTCCTGGAAATAGGATCATGAAAATTGGATTGCCAGTTTCTGCACTTTCATTTAAAGTTGATAAATTTGGATCAGATTCATTAATATTTTTCTTGTGAAGTAGCAGTTCCTTAGCTAGCCGAAACGCTTGTATTTGTTCAAGTAAAACGAGACGTTGGAGCTCTGTTATTGATAAATCTCGTGCTTCATCAGTTTCCACTAATCCGTTTTCCTTTTTTTTAGAAGGCCCCTTACTGGGTCCGGCTTTCATTGTGGTAGCTTTCAGTACTGGTCCTGAACTTCCAGATGCTTCTTCGGTGATTGTTTCTTCTTCAGCACAGGCTGTTGGAGTGTAATCAATGCTTTTTGTGGGCAACCTGCCACAACAGCACCCACAATTTAAAATATATGCTATTTATATTCATTGAGATGTATATACAGGGTGACTTCGAAGTTGAGTCATTTATTTTAACAGTGAGTAGATCTGATCAAAAGAAATGTTTTTTTCCTTTACCATTTTCCTGGTAAAATTAAAGTAACAAAGTTATAGCCCTTTGGAAGTTTGAGTACCGCCCTGTCTCAATAACAATATTATGTGGTCGTGTTTGGCGACAATGGATATAATCCGCCGTATCGGTTCATCGCATCGGAAACAAAAAGCGAAAGAATTTGGAACGATGTTTTTACAGGTATCTCATTCATTTGTATACAGTTAGTGTCAGTGGATAGTGGTATGTGTTGCGTGGCTCAAACGAAATAAAAAATGGCACATGTTTATGCGGATCGGTTTCCCAATCGAGTGCAACCAACCCCTCGTGCCTTTGTTAATGTAGTACAACGGGCTTGTGAATCAGGTGACTTAAGACCTCACAGGGGACCTCACGATCAATACAGGTCCGCACTGAAATACTTGTCGGGAGGATACTTTATAAAACAAGGTAAAAATTTTTTTTTATTTTTTTTTATTTTTACACACATATTTTGGTTTATCTTCCTTCTACAATCATTATCTGAAAATTAATGACTCAACTTCAAAGTCACCCTGTATATTATACTCAATCACATCTTATACCTACTGTATGGAAAAACAAAAAAATACAACTAACATTGCAATCGAGCAATACTAGGATTTGGTTCTCCTTCTAGAAAATTGAACAGTTCTTGTTCCCATCCTTTCAATTTTATTGGTTTGTTTCCGGTTTGATATCTGTCTGTCTTCGCTTTTAATCTGGTTTTTATGTTTTGAATCTTCTTACAAATCTGCCCTTCATTATAATTAACTCCTAATTCGGCTTCTACCTTTTCTTTTATTTCTTCAGCCGCCTTACGTCGTTTATTTTTGATTTCCGGGATGTTAGATTTTTCCAACAAAACAGGATACTGTTCAATTATATTAACAAATACTGTTTGATTTTCAGATGAATGGTCTTCAGAATAGGTATAATCGACCTAAACACCACCGACACAAACGTTTACCGGTATACAGTAGTAACTGCTCGCAATAGAGAAATTGCCAATTCGACGAGACAACAAAATACAAGTCGGAACTCGGAAACCAGAGTGCGTACTCAAGTATTTCATTAGCACTTGAGTAGCCTCTCCGTTTCTCGACAAATATTTTATGCATATCAAAACCGAGTATGCTCTCCCTAACAGGAGTAGTTACTCGCTACAATATGGAGTAGCTACTTCTGAGAACCCACTCGCCTTTATGCATATCACCCATTATTTGTAAAACATTTTTCATAATTTTTTGTCCATAGTAATTGCATTATGCATCAGGGAGATGTAGGGATTGACACGTCTTACACATATTATCTGTGTTTTAGGATGGAGAGGACATAATGTTTTTATTGCTTTGAGGAAATTCATTAACCCATAAATTAATAAATGATTACTATTATGACGTAAAGGAAGATGAGTAATTGGATGGAATGTATTTTCTATTCTATTTTCTTGCAAAATACAGACAAATCCACACTATTCAACAGGTATGTAATGATAACTTTCAGTATGTTGGAGTTGGTAAATTCGAGAGTGGCATGCATTAACAAACGTCCAAATCTGCTGCCAAATTTAACAGCTACAAAATCGACCTATTATTTGCCGCATACCCATTCGCTGAGGGGAATAACGAATTGTTAAATGTAAACCTATAACATATATCAAAATACTCGTACATGAAAGTTGTCCTGTTTTTTCTGTACAAAAGCATCATGTTGGAATCAAGAAGTGGTCTTGTTTATAATACAGTCGAATTTTCACGATTTTATTCAATATTCAATAGAAATCACTAATATTCAGAGACCTTTGACAGCTTCTGTCAAATTGCAATTCGATAAGGTATTTTCCCATTGGTCCATAATATTAATGTTGGTGAAATCGGCCCTAAACTTGTGTTTTTCTTGATATTTGTAATTTTCAAGGTTGGCGACCGCTGGTGTAGGTTACAAATTTTAATGATCAATCTCTCATAATGTTGTTCCAATATAATAAAAAAAGTTGGTGTGACACGGTGTGAAATAGGAGAAAGTTTCCATTCTCAGTACTCTACATCGCATCGGCTGAAAGCTGGAAGCCCTTCAAACCGTACACGTGACCTCCACCCATGCCCTGAAACCGGACAAATATTGACCTGTCCGGAATGTGTTCGCCCCTAATAAGTATTAACCAGGATTAGCCCAACCACCGATCCCATAAAGCCATAAGTGTAACTCATAGTTGGAATTGACTGTCCACATCCACGCAAATGGGTCGAGACGATATTAAGGAGACGCTTTAGGTTGTTTGGATTCCGACATTCCGCCTGTCTGAATTCGTTCGTCAGGATTGGTCGATGTCGTCCATTATTACGGTGGAGACTTAGAGAAATTAGTTGTTTACTGCGTAGGGAGTGCGAAGCGCTGCGGAAGAAAGTTGGAAGGTGAGATAAGTTTCACCGAAAGATCTCGTGCCACAGCGTCTTCCCATAAATTACTATAGAGACAATCTAGTTTTGCAAACTTCTATACACGGAAATAGATCGAATGCGGTACAGAGAGACTTCAGCTACACAGAAGGCATGTATACGTATAGTTTCAGAATTTTCGAACAACCTCTATTCTTGCTATGGCTCGAAATAACAGGATATTATCAAAGCGAAAACTAAAAAATTTCGCATTTTTTAGGTGTCAACCCCCATGACCTTCTGTACTCGTAATAATAATATTTATTCATTCAATGTACAAAGATAACAAACAATATCAGTAAATAAATATAAAATCAAAACAGGCCCAATAGAAGGCATCGCCTGTACATGGATCAATAATTTTAAGTTGCAGCTGTAGAATGCAAATGACAAAAATTAGCTACAGTAGATTATTTATTTACTTGATGTTCATATTTATGAGTTTATGAATTTCAGTACTAGATATAGAATGTAGCCACTTTTTTAAATTTCTTTTGAAACAATTTCCGAAACGTAAATATTTGAAGTCTTTAGGTATAATTTCATAAAATTTTGGCGCTAAATAGAGATATGACCGCTGCATTATAGATTTATGCGGCTGAGGAACTAATGTGCCACGAATTTTGTACCTTGTGTAATGATTATGTTTAATTTTTTGGTCGGTGTTTACAAATTTATGGTAGTGAGTGATACTGTGTAAGAAATAAAAGCTGTCTTATATCATACATTCGAACATCGTATAATTTGTCAGTGGGATAAAGTTTCGGTTAATTAGATATCATTTTTAGAATACTTTTTTAAAAAACATCTAAATCATAGATATGTGAGGAACATGTAGCTCCCAATGCTAATATACCATACGTGGGATGAGGCTCAATCAGTGCATGGTATAATGTTCGAAGATATTTTTCTGTCAATATATTCCCAAGCTATTTAATTTTGTATGATACAAATCTAACTTTCTTTAAAATATAATTGACATGGATGTCCCATCGTAAGGGAGGATCCAAGACCACTCCAAGGTATTTTATGTTGGGCACTCTATTAATTTGCATTTTTTGATCATTAATGTTGAAGGAGAAATTTGTGTAATTTGGCAGATGTCTAGCATGAGATCCAAGTGGTAAAAAATGTGTTTTAGAATAGTTAATGCTTAATTTTCTAATGTTAAACCACCGAATAATTTTGATAGAATTATTTTCAATTACATTTTTCAGATCAGAGCAGTCAGTGCCTTCATATAAAGCTTGCATTAAATCAACAAAAATGCAGATTGAAGGGATTCTGTTATCAATATTTTGATGTATTTGATTTGATTTCAATTTTTTAAGGACATAACAGTGGTGTATGCTTGACATTGCTCGACTTTCCCCAAAATATATGAGTTCAAAGATATACTAGGTGACATATAAATCCGAACACCCAGTTTAAATGGTTTTATTTTAATAAAATTTTGTATAAGTACTTAATGAAGCATAATAA